ATAAATGTACCTGTGAACATTCAGATGAACTATTATTTTGTACAGTGCAGTGTTTGACTGAATTTATTGTGTTTTGGTTCACACACATGCCACACACACAGTACACACACACACTAGCATTGTTAGCATTTTAAACACGTTTTGGAAATTTTTCAATCCGTTTCCAGGGATTTCCTTGTACATTTATGTACATGGCCATCAGATTTTTGCCAAATGTACACAGTACATGTACAAAAATGTAGTTGGACCCCCCCCCCCCCCCCCCACTTAAAAAAATTATTGTTCCGGACGGTAGTGATATTGCGGGGTGTAACAAGTTTACAGTTATAACCTCACTTTATTAATAATTGTTTGGTGTAATAATTGTTTTGTTAAACTGATGATTGTTTGTGTATTTCTCAAACTAACATATTGGTCAGGCATGTACGGAGACCTCCCTGCTAGCTCCAGCTCCTACAAGGACCTAATCCTTCTGATAGAGAAACTGATAGAACTCCTCAGTCCTCAAGTCTTCCACTGGTAAAGACTGCAGTTTGTACGAGCTGGAGCTCTTGTTTCACCCCAGGGTGGAAAGGTGGTACGCTAGTCCAGACCATGGAACATCAACGTCCTGCTGTTATTCAGAGCACTGATGTGGCTGGATGGAAACCAACCTCTAAAATTAGACTTGTTCTTCCCGGTACGTGGTGTTTGTGGGAAGAGTGCCGTTAATAAAAATTAATCTTCTTTTCCTGTAGCTTATATATCCTAATATTGAACCCGTCTCTGATCCTGATCTAATACTGCAGTAATTATAGTGAGTAAGATAGAAGTAGTTAATAAACCTCCCCAAAAACGGTCGACAGGTCGTGGCTAAGTAATGAACGAACGAGAGCTCATTTGTGTCACGTGACAGCACTACTATAAAATATCCCTTATTATACATTCCCTACTCTGTGATCACCTTCCCCCCTCAGATATTCTAGAAGAGGAAGGAGAGAAGGAGGAACCACACAAAGGAATGTAGAACGTGTCAGGAGGAGACCTCATCACCCAAATGTACACCGCCTCCGGGCAACTACTGGACCTCACCTACCGGGCTGGCCGGCTCTATCATACCTCACCTACCGGGCTAATACACGGGTCTTCATAGTGATATGACTGTGATTTCGAATAAACTGATATTTACTGACATTTTTGGTCAGGTTCATGGTTAGGACATTGGACAGTTGTTATTTTTTACTTAGTTTGGTAATGTTATAATATTCTTGATGTCAACTGTTTTATAGCGTAAATATTCTGTTATTCTAACAGCACCGTCATAAAAGTGTTTTAATCCTTCGAACATATGTAGCTGATAAAATAACATGTTGTAAAATTATTGAAATGTGATGTGCTCTGGTATCCGTATATAATATATCGACTATATATTGTATATGGTAGAATCTAGATAGATAAGAATCTGGTAGAATGTAGAATGTGGATCTATTTAACAGTTGGAGCTGAGGCACCTTTAAGAGTCAAATCGATTTCAATTTCAATTGCCCTTTCAGAAATCTCACCGTTGATAAACAGAGCTACAAATCTAAACACTTGTGAGATTTATCCTTGGCCGTGTAACTGTAACAACTTGAAATAGTGGTATCTGTTCGCGATGCAAAACTGAAAACAATTCGATATTGTTTTATTATACTGCTTATATTTTACCCTTGACCAACAAGATCTATAAAACCTTAAATGAATTAAAACTTGCAGGAATAATTTTATTGCATATTATTGATAATTCGTGAATTTATGCAACCTACAGTACCTAAAATTCAATTAGCTAATTACCGGCCATGCGTTGCATAAACCATATTATGGCCCATTCGGCCATTTCGGTCACAAATCGGAGCTTAAATTGAGTTTATTGCACGCGCGGTGGACAAATTGTGTGAAAACAACTGTGCTGTCACAAATAATGCGCGTTATAGAGGTGACCAATGAAATCACGGCATTAAAAACACGTGATAGCGCGCTGGCGAGTGAATTAGTAAAATCCGCACCAACAGGGGGCGCATTTTCGGTGGGGGCGCCAACAGGCAACGTTACGCCACTGACAACTGAGCACTCAGATGAAGAGCTAGTGAGCATCTGCTATAATATGTGCTATAGTATGTTATACCTGGGGACCTCAGGAGATATTATATTTATGTTCATAATCATAGAGATTAGGCGGAATGAGATTAGGCAGAATGACAGGCTGAGCGCGGCCCAGTAATATCAAATACGACAAGCTGTGCTACGAAGTAGCGCGCGCCGGGCCAGACCATTAACAATGGTCAACTATAAGGTAGAGTATTTTTTAAATTAACTTAAGTATAACTATAAGCACTTAAATTCAATGAATAAATCCTTCTAGTTTTTATATCTTAATCAATATTTATTTGTCATACGTTGTACGTTGTATGACCCGCTGCGCACGAAGTGCGCGGCTCCCCCTGTATTATTATGTATCACTATCGTCAGGACCATAGTGAAACGACCGTGGGGGTCGCAACGTGATACAAATATTTATACCGTATAACAGAGACTGAAAGTGGCGTCGGGGTAAGCAAAACACATAGTGTATAATACAATAGGTGTCCTGCGGTTACAACTTTACAACATACTTCTGGTTAAAGCAACCCTCGAGTAATAACAGTTTGTGGTATGTGATTGGAACTTGGCATCGCACTAATTGAACCGGACCATTAACCGGCTCCAACATCAGATCACTTCAAATTAAACAGGGGTACAAAACAGTGACGATTAATTAAGGATTTCAGTTGACTTAGAAATGGTTTTTAAAGAGCCAGGATAGAGTTCACATGATAATTCAGAGGTCCTCGCAAATTATTTAGCAGTCCCTCGCTCGATCCACAGAGCTGCACCCTTCGGATCTGCACTATACTATGACTTTGATGGCAAAGCTGCAAAATTTTACAGTTTTTTTGTTCCCCTTTGTTTGTGAATCTCAATCGATACTCTGTAGATTTAAGTGTTATTGGCAACATCTTCTATTGTTTCAACTGGAACTTGTTAAATAGTTGCAGATCAGATCAGGAGACTTGAGGACAGCAGTCTTACACAAACATACCTGCTCAAAACATTCTTCATACCAGCTAATGGAGTATAAACAATGATATGACAAATTCCTGAAATACCAACAGTTGTTAACTTTAAGAACAATAGTCTTCCATAAAGACCCGAGCGTGCTAAATCACTCTACAGTCGATCTTCGAGATTGTTCTAAAAGGGCCCCCGACAGTTGAAACCAACTTCAATCGATGTATTTTCGGACGCTGATTCCGAATCACCCCTTATGACATAGGGTTAAAATGCTCCCCTGACGAGATATTGGCGAAAAACTGTCTCGACTCTCGATCACGTGATATGACCGTATAAGGAAGTTAGTCCAATTTCTCGTTAGGGTTAGGGTTTCAGCATATGATTTTGTTAAGGATTGGGTTAGGGTTAGGGTTGGGATCAGATTAGAGGGTTAGGGTTTCGAATAGTCGTTCAGGACCAGCTAGAGAACGAGTTGAAAAAGTCACGTGACAGTCGAGTGTAGAGTGATTAATCATCATCCATAAAGACCGTCGACGAGTCCAACCCTACAAGCACATACCAGCTAATGGAGTATAAACAATGATATGACAAATTCCTGAAATACCAACAGTTGTTAACTTTAAGAACAATAGTCTTCCATAGAGACCGTCGACGAGTCCAACCCTACAAGCAAACTACAGTGAAATATTTTTTTGGACTACCTTATTTAACTTGAACAGTGACAAACTTTAATTTAATTTATATTAGATTTATTACAGATTATAGTAACAGACTGAAGTGTAGCACAGTTTACCTACCATACTGATACTATAAGTTATATCTTGATGCAAGCTAGTAAGGACGTAGAGTATCTTGATTATTGAATATGCAAGCAAACTATTGCATATTGCATATTGACACACGCTGCAATTAAACCCCTTTTGATCGCGCGCACGAAAGGTATACAACGTGTAGCAAGCAAACTACAGTGGAATTATCATTTAGACATTAGAACAGCCATCTTACTGCCGCACTCAATGAGGCTTCTCACAGCGACACAGCTTGTATCACGTCGTGACCATGACCCCCATCGTTGTTTCACTATAGAGTTTCGGCGGGTCATACAACGTATGACATACAAGACACAGCTAGATCTAATCGGCAAGATGCCTTACTGTGCCGCGCCGAGCTGCGATGAATTGACATCGTCAATTAAGGACGTAAGGTATCTTGATTCTTGATGCAAGCAAACTATTGCGAGTACGATACTACAAATATATCTTGATACAAGTAAGCAGACAAGGAGGAATGTTGAGACCAAATCACAAATATGATGAGCACAGCTGTCCTCATATAAATATAATAGCTGCTCCACTTCCAGTTCACTATTACTGGTCTAAATTTCTTCGAAGTAGCGCGCGCCGCTTTCTTCTCGAAATGTTACTGGGCCATTAACAATAGTCAAGTTCACTAACATTAGTACATAATAGTTCTTTTTAAGTTTAAGTTCTTTGTTAAAGACTCTGGGACGATATTTCATTTTCAACGAGCGTGCTAAATCACTCTAGAGTCGATCTTCGAAATTGTTCTAAAAAGGCCCCCGACAGTTGAAACCAACTTCGATGACGATAGATGTATTCTCGGACGCTGATTTCGAATCACCCCCATGACATAGGGTTAAAATGCTCCCCTGACTAGATATTGGCGAAAAACTGTAGCAAGGCACGGATTTTAGAAATCCGTGCCTCTATTCCCCGAGAGTTTCCACGCCAATTGGCGGGAGCTCTAAACACACTACGCGCCTCGTTGTGTGACTCCGGTGACTTGTGGCGGGGCTTCTGAACACACTGTGCATTTTTACTCACGCCATGTGGCCCGTCGCCACATGGCGTAGTGTGGGCAGACCCTAATCTATTAATTTCCTCTCAGTGAAGAAATTAAACACTTATAATTAAAAAACACAGAAATAAGTTCTAAACAATAAAAAGCAGCATTCTAACTGTCACCACAGTGCTAATCTTTTGTACATCTGACATTCCACGACTGTGATAGTAGCCCATCATAATAACACCCTTATTGTGAATTCAAACAGATAAAAACAAGTTCATAACATTACTCGTTTACATCAAGTCAATGTCAAATTGTTACAGAGTTTAATTAGCAGCAACACAAACAACCACATCTATACGGATACCAGCTCGTTACTTTAGGAACAGCTCGTTACTTTGGGAACAGCTCGTTACTTTGGGAACAGCTCGTTACGTTGGGAACAGCTCGTTACTTTGGGAACAGCTCGTTACTTTGGGAACAGCTCGTTACTTTGGGAACAGCTCCTAACTTTGGGAACAGATCGTAACTTTGGGAACAGCTCGTTACTTTGGGAACAGCTCCTAACTTTGGGAACAGATCGTAACTTTGGGAACAGCTCGTTACTTTGGGAACAGCTCGTTACTTTGGGAACAGCTCGTTACTTTGGGAACAACACATCAGGATGACAATACGTCTTGTATAGACTCTATAACCATTTCCCGATCCTTCTTATTAAGTAGATTGTAGTCGATCAGCTCATCAGTAAGTTTGGCCGGACTATCCTCCTGAAGAGAGATCTCTGTCTCCATCTTCCGGACCATATGATCGTTCATCGTGAACTCCAGAGACAAGTTAGCTTTGTCGGGATCGTTTCCTTTACAGACGATCTTCCCGTTTATCTTCAGAATGAGTCGGTCCTCAGCCTTAGAAATGGTGGGTTCAGTTTCACTCTCAGCAGGACACTTCTCCTTGGTCTTCGGAGACTGGATCTTGATACCACACAGGGGGAACATGCCACTCTCCACGTCAGAGGACAGCTTCTCAATATCCAGAGGCGAGGTCTCATGTTTCTTGGGCACGGTGTCAACTATTATAGTCTTGGTGTCTCCCTGCTCCAGCTTCTTAGGATCTATTGCTTTGACCATACTGTGTCCCCACCGGTTGAACATGGCGTAGTATGCGATAACCTTTAGCGGCGGCACCTCTATGAAGATAGTGTGGTTCAGCAGCTGTCCCACAGACGCGTTATTCCCGAAACATTCCATCAGCAGAGTACCCTTATTCGCTCCACAAGTCTCCAGGACCAGTCTTCTCTCATCCTCTGTTAGATCTCGTCTGTTTTTCTTCTTCTTATCGTTATCATAGTTAATCGGAGCTACATCTCTCATGTCCGACTCCTCGACACCAGTAGCGAACACTTCTAACAAACAGTTTCCAAAGTCAGAGATATCCTTAGAGTTAGGAGTCTTGTAACACGCCTTTTCATCGAAGTCCTTATCCTCAAGCAGTGAAGAAAGAAAATCTTTAATTATGTTTGGAGCGACGGAGCCCACTTTAATGATACCATCGTGGTGTATGTAGATACTGTCACAGTTGAGGTGGCCATGTGTAATACTGGGAGCACACGAGTGGAGATAATCCAGAGCTCTGAGAATCTGTCTGCTCCATCGTCTCCAGACCCTAGCTCCGATCTTCTTCTTGTTAATTCTACTCCTCCTCAAGAAACTTCTGAGTGTGCCGGCTGAGGTGTACTCTGTGATATACACTATCTTGAACATGCCATCTTCTGCTGAATCATGTATCCAGTACCCGCTGTATTTTATCAGGTTCACATGCTCTATTCGTTTGAAGATCTTCAGGATGGCCTCCATGGCTTCCTTACTGGTGTCTCGTCTTATAAGAGAGTGCATCTCCTGACTGATTTCTATCTCGTTCCAGACAACCTCCTTTCCTTCCTCCATATCTATAGCAAGAAAACTCCGTGTCAGGCCTCCAATACCTTGAGCTTGAACCTGTGATATGGTAGTTGGTCTAGTGTTTAGGGAGATGTTTAAAAGATGTGATAACTCATTTTGATATCTAGTTATTTGCTTAAGGAAAGATTAGACTTGGGCGTTGTTTTTAACTATCCCTTATTTATAACTTTTATTTGATAAAGACAACTCACTGGTTGGTCCCGTCTGTACCACCTCCCATCCGGACTCTGCTCCACGTACTCATCAGTATCGCTTGGGATATCTTCTTCTGGATCGTTCTCTTGCAACATCATCTCTAAATGAGATAATTTAATTTACTTACTTAAGTATCATGTTACATTTAGATTGCTAAAATCATTGGACTGAGTAAAACTGAGTAATTAGCCGAGTGGGTTGAAAAGTGTGATAAATTCTAAATAATGACCTTTTGAAAGAGACTGTTAACGAACCGCGTTTCCATATATAATACCATATATTACATGTATTATAATACGCATATGTTTTTCTGAACTACTCAATAGTTCGAAATAACGTACGCGCGTGAGCGCGCGGTTCACATCACATAATTGATTCGGCGCCGCGCCATACTGTCATGCAGTAGATGAATCCATAAATTTGGAACATTTATGGATTCACATTTGAGTGCTGGGAAGGCTCAATTCGGTTGATTGAGGAGTAGGAGGAGGAGATTGAGGAGGAGGACTGGGGGAGGACTGAGGTGGAGGAGGACTGGGGGAGGACTGAGGAGGAGGAGGAGGACTGAGGATGAGAAGGAGGGAAGAAGAGACTGAGGAGGAGGACTGGGGGAGCACTGAGGAGGAGGAGGAATGAGGAAGGAGGAGGAGGACTGGGGGAGGACTGAAAAGGAGGAGGAGGACTGAGGAGGACTGAGGAGGAGGAGGAGGGGGAGGAGGACTAAGGAGGAGAAGGAGGACGAGGAGGACTGAGGAGTGAGGAGGAAGACGAGGACGAGGACTATGAGGAGGACTAATGACGAGGACTGAGGAGGGGGAGGAGAACTTGGGGGATGACTGAGGAGGAGAAGGACTGAAGAGGAGGTGGAGGAGTAAAAGGATGAGGACTAAGGACAAGGAGATTCGCGATTACCTGGAAAAAGTTTTGTCAATAAAGAAGTACATAAGTTTTGATTTGTTTCTGAATTTCATTCGAGCTTATTTGATAAGTTATTAAGTTATTGATTATTGTAAACATTGAAATCAAAGTTTGATAAACAAGCTAGAAACACTGTCAATAGTACACCAATATACATAAACCAAGCAAACTCAGTAGCTTTTATTTAGGGGGATGTCAATCTTAATCCCCGGACATTATTTATAGAATATCGATAATAAATATTTAATAAACGTCGAAATTCATTTTTGAGTACAAGGTAACCAAAGATTAGTAAGATTTAAAATCGATACCAAATTCGTTAAATCATGCGAAAGTGAAAGTATTATCAATTAATGGAAATTTTTAAAAAAGGTGGTATTTTTCAATAAGTATAAGGACGTTTTATTCAGTTGTATTCAAATTGTCCTGAATATCTGCTATCAATAACCAGTGCTATTTTATAGCTATATAATAGCCTCAGACATAATAATGTTCAATCCGTAGTCCTACTGGAAGCTCTGTGGACATCCCAGCTTAGGTATGTTCTGTAACTTAGAAGACTTGGAAGCACATATTCTCTCAGTTTTCACTTCCCAATCAGGCATGTTAATCGCCGCTATGACGTCACCCTCAGCATCCCAGGTCATCATGGAACACTTCATCGCGTAGGCTTCAGCAGCATTACATCCAGGCTTGAGGACCCTATCTACTTTAGGTATTACCACCCAGGGGTAGAGATCGTTTTGAATGTTCATTCCTTTACACTGGTCATAAACACAGGCGTCAATAAAGGGTTCCTTGTCGTGCACGCAGTTCTCAAAGTCGTGGTTCCCAAAGATCTTGGCGCATTTCTCTTCCGCCTTCTTGAATTTCCTAGCTCCGCAGAGTGCCTCAATCTGGTCCATGGTAGGGGCTGGGGTTCCCGCATCACAGTTCCTGTCCACTTTCAGACTCTCTGAGAAGACTATGAGGTTGCTGTTCTCCGTTCCCAACACATTCCAGTCGTTCAGGGGGTCCTGGTCGTTGTTCCCACAGAGCCCCTGTGTTTGGGCAGTTTGAGGTACTTCTATTGTTACTGTCGTCAGACCATCCCAATACACCTTCAGCCAGTCCTGCACCACGTTCCCGTATTCATTCTGCTGGTCTAACAGAAGACTGACTATCAGTGTGGTTCCTGAGAACTCCACGTCGAGCTCTCCTACTTTTATTGGTGATTTCAGCTGTACTGTCTCTATTTTCTTCCCCTTGTGGTTCACGATCCACCCTCTCTGCAACTCAACAGCATCTCCTCTGGCGCAGATAGTGACGGATTCCAGGCACACTCCCTCAGCCAGGTGGCCACATGGTCGCATTCTCCCGTAGATGAACCAGCTAGCGGCGTCTTGATCCAGTGCCAAAACGTAATCACAGCTCGATCCGGGTAAGTTGTAGATACTCCCATCAAATGACACGATGTGAGGGTCCCCAAACACCTGACAAGAAGACCGAGCACTGCTGATCATGGTTAGCGCCCCCCAGTTTGGGAGGGATGTACTGCTGGACTCTGGACTAGCTTCTGTTCCACCGGATACCGGGTTATTCTGGGCCTTGTTAGGTCTCTGAACGTGAAGGTAGAACTTGGCTAGGTTAACATCACATGCTTGTAGGTCAGTGTCCTTGTTGATGCAAGCCCTGCATCTGTACCATCCCTCATCACTCTTCGTAACGTACTGCTTGACGAGGTATATCTCTGCAGTTTCAGTGATGTCGATCCTTCCGTTCGGGTGACTTGGTCGAGATTTAGTGCTCTTTGAGTAATCAGCCCACCAGCCGTGCTCCGGACTGCTTAAGTTACGTGAATTGTCGTCCTCGTAGATCAGGCTCAGCTCCAGGTCGTGTTTAAGGTGTTTAGGCCAGTGTGGCAAATGGTCCGCTGCATCCGAGGCCTTGCATTCAAATTCGACCATGTCTCCTTCTTTCACAGTTTTGCTCTGAGAGTAAGAGTGAAGAACTGGATAAGGCTGAGGATCAAATACTCGCATCCTTGCCCATACCTCAACAGAGGATGAGGATGTTAAGGGTGAAGATGTGGGTTTTATTTCTGGAAATCCAACTATTGGTTCTTCAAATCCAACTGCTGGATCCAACTCAACATCGTTACATAATGATACCCCGGCAGTGGTGAAGAAAAGTGCAAAAAGCACTAAAACAAGTCTTTGCGTCATCACCCAGAAAACTACAACAAATCGTAAGCTCTGCAAATATTAAAAACGGAAATTTGTGCAAGAATTGATATAATATCTATTCTGTGCCCAAAAATATCCTAAGGTTCTGATTATAATTATGCAAAGTCTGCAATAATATCAGGTCCTGCAAGTAACTCAATTACACTTTTTAAAACTTAACAGTTCAATGAGTTAGTGAGAGCACTAAATCTCGACCAAGTCACCCGAACGGAAGGATTGACATCACTGAAACTGCAGAGATATACCTCGCCATAGCATTTAACGGGGATTTAACGCTCCAACGTTATAACTCCGTCTGATTCTGACCAATCAATCCCCAAAAGGAAGAGGAGGAGGAAGAGGAAGAGGAGGAGGAGGAGGAGGAGGAGGAGGAGGAGGAGTAGGAGGAGGAGGAGGAGGAGGAGGAGGAGGAGGAGGAGGATGACTGAGGAGGAGAATGAGGGAAGAAAAGACTGAGGAGGAGGACTGGGGGAGCACTGAGGAGGAGGAGGACTGATGAAGGAGGAGGAGGAGGAGGAGGAGGACTGAGGAAGAGGAGGAGGACTGGGGGAGGACTGGTGAGGAGGAGGACTGAAGAGGAGGAGGACTGAGGAGGACTGAGGAGGAGGAGGAGGATGAGGAGGAGGACTAAGGAGGAGGAGAACTGAGGACGAGGAGGACTGAGGAGGAAGACGAGGACGAGGAGGAGGACTATGAGGAGGACTAAGGAGGAGGAGGAGGAGTAAAAGGATGAGGACTAAGGACAAGGAGGACTGAGGAGGGGGACGAGAGCGAGGACGAGGAGGAGGTCGACTATGAGGAGGACTGAGGAGGAGGACTGATAAGAAGGAGCAGAAGGAGGAGGAGGAGGAGGACTGGGCAAGGACTGAAGAGGAGGAAGACTGATGAGAAGGAGGAGGAAGACTTAGGAGGAGGAGGAGGAACAGGAGGAGAAGCATCTAAATGTTATTTCCATAACATTTTTTGTCTGTTTTTGTCCGTTCTAATTTTTGTCCGTTTGAAAATATAGGGTACCGAACGGACAAAAACGAACACAAAACATGATCCCCTGAAGAAGAGGAGGAGGACTGAGGAGGAGAAGGAAGAGGAGGAGGACTGAGAAAGACTGAGGAGGAAGGGGAGGAGGAGGAGGAGAAGGAGGAGTAAAAGGATGAGGACTGAGGACGAGGACGACTGAGGAGGAGGACTGATAAGAAGGAGGAGGAGGAGGAGGAGGAGGACTGGGTAAGGACTGATGAGGAGGAGGTCTGGGGGAGGACTGAGGAGGAGGAAGAGGGCTGAGGAGGAGGAGAAGGAGGAGGATGAGGAGGAGGAGGAGGAGGAGGAGGAGGAGGAGGAGGAGGAGGACTGAGGAGGAGAAGGAGGATTGATGAGGAGGAGGAGGAAGACTTAGGAGACTTGGGGTTGGACACCCAAAAAATGAACCCCTTAGTACCATGTACTAACTGTTTTTCTGGAAAAATGGGCAGTAGACCCACCAGTTAGTACCACTAGCAGGAACCCGTCTACCCTAAAGTGGTGTCAAGACTCGAGAGAATAAAATAATTATTACCTATTTAATTCGCGTTTTTGACACTACTTGGGAGTCCAAATTTTGGGCACTAAAATTCTTATTCCTTGGCCAATTTTTAATTTTTTCATGCTGATTTGAAGGCCATTAAAGCATTTGACCCAGTCAAAAAAGTTTCAGTTGTATATCTTTTACGGTTTTTGCGGAAATTCGCGTTAAAGTTGATACCGTGGTGTCAGTAAAATGGCACGGATAAATAAATATATATATATATCGTCTCGCTTTATATATAGTAAGATGTACTAACTGTGTTTTTGGGAGAAAAAATGACCCACCCACCAACGTGAAGTCCGGCACTTGGTACCTGATTGGGAGGGGGGGGGGGGGGGGCAACAGGCATCATTACGCCACTGACAAGAAATGGGGGTGTGCCACAAATATTGAGAATAAAATATGGCCTA